TTGGTCGTCACACTTTCATTTTCTTTCTTAATTTAATTACTTTTTTTTTCTTTTTCCTTTCTTTTATTCTTTTTTTTCATTTTTTTTTCATTTTCTTCTTCATTTTTCCTTCTCCTATCCTTTAGCATCCTTTTTTTTTTCTTTCTTCTTCATTTGTTTTTTTTCCTTTCTTGTTCTCTCTCTCTCTCTCTCTCTCTCTCTCTCTCTCTCTCTCTCTCTCCTTCTTGCGATGTCTCTCCTTCTGCCGCATCTCACCTTTATGACTGCCGCTCACTCCTCCTCACGCGGCCAAGACTCCTCCCCTCACTTTGCTTTTTCGGCCCCGATCCTCACTCAGCTCGGCCTCATCTCTCACGTGCTCGAACTCAGCTCCCTTACTCTCTTTTTTGTCGTTTTTTCTCATATTTTATTTCATTATACATATATATATATAATTTTTTGCCTCTTGATTTGTTTTCCTTCTCGCTATATTTTTCTTTTTTCCTAATATTATATATATATATATTTCTTTTGTACCTAGCTGGAGCATATTACAAGAGTCACATGGATTTATCCATGATTTGTTTATTCCTTATTTCTAAAATTCTATTTCGATCGAATTTAAAAAAAAAAATATTTATATAATTTATATGTATAATTATAAATTTCTCTATATAATTAATAAATATAAGTAGGATTTTGTTTGTTTCTATTTATTTATTTGATTTGTTTCTATTTAAATATATGTAATAATATATACCTAATGTTGTCTTTGATTCCCTCAGTCACTACAAATACCCCCGATCAATGCAATGAGATATATTTATTTATCTATTTCTTGACTCGAAATAGGAACAGGTTTGATAAAGGATCTTAGAGTGTTTAGAGTTGGATCATGAGGGTCTCTTGACATCTTCTTTTTTCCTTTCATTGGAGAGTTATATGCTGCATTTGGGAAAGATGAATCTCTCCGGAAAAAGAATGTAGAATCAATTTTTTTATAAGTTTAGATTCCTGAGCTTAGAACAACTCCATTGATTTAAGCACCACTATCCTCTAATTTTCTATATTTACTTTTTTATACTGAGTAAAACATTAAACAACTCCATTGATTTAAGCACCACTATCCTTTAATTTTCTATATTTACTTTTTTATACGAGTAAAACATTAAACGACGCAGTTTTGCTTCTTCTTTTATTTTTGTCCCCTTTAGAAAAATGTGTATTCTGGTTCTCTATTGAGAGAGGCTTTCCCCCAAAAGTAATAATCTAGTAAGGCCGACCCTACCACATTAGCAGTGAATCAACAATGAGACCAACCAGTGATATTTAGACAACTGGTTAAATTAGCCACCTTATTTTTACACTGCAATCAACCTTTGCCAAGACATCTACTCAAAATAATAATAATAATAATAGTATTTGAATATGTATAGTTTCTCATAATATGATATCTTAAATTTTAAGAATAATTTTATTCAAAATTTTTTAATTATTTTCACGTATATCTGAAAATTCTAAATATAACTCTAACTATTTAGAGGTATTAGTATTTTGTTACAATGTGATTATCTTTAGCAATGATCATTTCATACACATATATATATATATGAATATACTTTGTTTTAATGTTCGGATATCATTTATTATCATTATTTTGCCATAATTTGTTTATAAAAAAATTGATGATTAAGAATAATAATCAAAGATAGTAACAAATGGTAGTAAAACATAATAACAAATTAGAATTGAAGATTGTGTCAAAAGATAATCAAGTATAACAAAGTAGTATTAAATGATAATCAAAGTTTGGTAATAGTAATATTTTTTTTTAGAAGAGTTTGTTAATAAAGATACAAAGTTTTCTTATCGGTGGAGATACTTATGAAATATTTCTTTCGTGTATATTCAATTTCCTATTCATATAACCAAATTGATTATTCGACTATTCATTCATTTAAGATCCAACATCAAGGATTTCTAGCATTAGAAATACACCCCATCCAAGAAAATACTATCCCAAGTTCATTTTCTACATTTACCATGACCTTCACTTTAGAAATTTCATGTCCTACCTAGACGCCATATCCTATAGTGGTGTATTCTTAATCACAGCCTTTTGGGCAACATCAAGGCATGGTTATCATTCTTATTAATACAGTACTAGTTTATTTATTCAATATAGACAAAACTTTCGCGTTGGATTAACTCTACTTATGATGGAATAAAAAAATACATGCAAACATCGATATAAATATACACATAGTTTTCACAATGATTTAAAATAACTAAATACAAGTTCAAATTCTAAGACATACATTGATGATTATCTCAGCTCAACATAATGTAGTAGACGACTTTTTTTTTTTATGTTGTATAATGGTCTATGAAAATGGTGACGACTTTAATATATGTCGCCTCTACATAAGAGCCAAGAAATATGATATACATAGGTCTCATAGAGGCATTTACTCGAAGTGGGAAGTTAGGAGTTCTTTTGGTTATAGGTTTTTGCTTATTAGTATATATATATATATATATGGTTTAGTTTAGTTACATATGCCTAAACTCTCGTCTTTTTTTTTTTTATAAATATAATTTAAGTATGGATATTGAATTTTTAATTATAAAATAGATTTATTATAGGTTTGGACAAACCTCATTTAACTTATAGTCTTGTAATGGACTGTCCCAACAAGACTTGTGGATCAAATCTTATAATGTAATATATACAATTAATAAATATAAATGAGTAAATTATTTTTACTCATATGATAAAATGAAACGACAACATGAAAGATTTACATTTTTTTGTGAGGTTCATCAAATGTTAATTTATAAGTTCCCATAGGGTTTTTGTGATTAAGAGGTTGCTAGCAATGTATACATACATATATATATATATATATATATAACAAAGGGCTAGACAATATAGTCCATGTATTTCCAAAGAAAAGAAACAAAAAAAATTTGCCCAATTAAAAACCCAAACTTGGTGTGGGCTGTGGAGAAAGTATATATGGATATGGATTGAAGAAAGAGTGGGGAATAATTTCACTTTTTTGGGAAAGCAAGAAATTTGAAAGATAATCAAAATGCGGCAAATCCAAATTCCAAAACCAACCAACCCATATGGCTTATATACATACACCGTATTGAAAAGTAATCATTTCATGCCTCCTAATCTACTCTTGTTTATCTACTAGACTCCTAGTGGTGATGAATCCACCCAAAGGCATTTCAAAACGTACAAAAGAAAGATAAAAAAGGCAAAAAGCAAACCTAGAAAAGCAACCCAAAAAGATATTGTACATATCTTTCCTCTTTCTCTCTTTCTATATATCTATATATATATATATGTATATATATATATATGGACCGCTTAAAGGGTATCTTGTGTATGATTTTAGCCATAGTAGCTCTTTTTTTTTTTTTTTTTTATGTGTTGTCTTGTAATAAGAGGTGCATAATTCAATACTTTTAATTATATATATATATATATTTTTTTAAAAAAGTAAAAGTAATAATCATCTAATTATTATTTTTAAATAAAAATTCATACATTTCATTAATAAAATAATCTTATAATTTCTTAATAAATATATATGTATATATATAATGTACAATCCATCTAGTAATATGATAACTTGTATGGAATACACTCATTTGATTGGTTTTTTTTTTTTTTCTAATGAAAATTCATCCACATTAATTATAGTATAGTTTTCTACTAAATATATACGATGTATAATCTATCTAGTCATATGATAGTTTGTATGATATAGACTCGTTTAATTAATTTTTTAAATTAAAATTTCATATATTTTATTAATAAATTAATTTTATACACACTAATCATAACACAAATTTCCCAAAAAAAAATATATATATACATGATTTACAATCCAACTCGTGTAATTGATTCAACGTGAACAGAGGAAAGTTGCAAAGATTTACCCATGTCATTGATTAGAAGTATATATACATATACATATACATATACATATACATATACATACACACACACACATATATATATATTTAGAGTGAGAAAAGGGTGAAAATTGATGATGGAGAAATAGAGAGGGAGTGGGTGACAGAAGCACGTGACTGTCCCACCTCCACTAACACCACTAACTACGACCATCACCATTTTCTTTCTCTCTCTCTCTCTCTCTCTTTAAATTTTGATCTTTGTAAAGACTAAAAGGGAGAGTGGATTTCTCGGTTGGCTTCATATCAACGCTAACAGCCAAAATAACCCAACCACAACCATCAAACCCTAGTTTTCTTTTAAAACCCCAATCTCTCAACCTCAAAAAAAACACACATATAAATTCTTTCTTTTATAAAGCTTTTAAATTTAACTTTAATTACAAAAAAAAAAATTTAGAAAAAAATGAAATTATATATGTAAATAATTTTCATTTTTATTGTTTTACATCCCAAATTAGCTTCAACCTTCATTCTCATTTTTACTATTTACATGTTTATTGCTTTAATTTTTGTGGAATCAAAAAAGAATTAATAAATTTACATACAAAAAATCTATTAAAAATGTAATATCAATAGTTTTAGCTTATGAGTTAAATTTAAAGTAAGAACAGTTTTGCGAAAAATTGTGAGAATTTTTTTTTTTTTTTTCATGAATTACCTATCGTTGATCAAATTTAGAATGGAATTAATCTTGGTATGCAAAAATTTATCCAAAAATATTGTAAAAAAAAGTACTAAAAATACATTTTGTCACAAAAAAAAAGGATTTGCAAAAAACCCATTTTACCAAAGAAAACAAGAAATTTCAAAAAAACAATTTGTAAAAACCCATTTTACAAAAAGAAAACGAGAAATTTCAAAAAAATAATTTGCAAAAACCCATTTTACCAAAAGAAAACAAGAAATTTTTTTAAAAAAAAGAGAGGTTAAGAGGCTACTATCATTAACTCAGTTGACAAAAAGTCACTACTTTCTTGGTTGCCCACTAACTCCTACCTCTTTAATTCCCCACTAAAACTCTTTTTTCCTCTCTAATGCTAGTGGTTTCTTTTCTCTCTCTCTCTCTCTCTCTCTCTCTCTCTCTCTCTCAACCTAACCCAACAATTTTCTCTCTCCCTCTCTCTCTCTAATTTTTCTTTCTTTTTTTCTCATCATCTGGGTCTGTTTGGATTTGGGTCTTCCCTTAATCTTATTCCAGATCCGTGTATCTATAGTCTGTATCTATCTCTGTCTCTATACATGTTAACAGCTAAACAAAGAGGGTAAGTAAAAAAAACTTTTAGGTTTTAGTATGGGGAGAGATGGACAAAGAAATTAGTACTACCCAAGATCATCATCCTACCCCATCTCCATCTCTCCTCCTTCCAAACTCCATTAAAGAAGATCTTTCTCCAAGAAAACCCTTTTCATCTTCTGCAACTTCCGGTGCTGATCGTCTCAAAAGAGATGAATGGAGTGAAGGTGCCGTCTCTTGCTTGCTCGAAGCTTATGAAAACAAATGGGTTCTTCGTAATCGAGCCAAGCTCAAAGGCCATGACTGGGAAGACGTTGCTCGTTACGTCTCTGCTCGGGCTAACTCCACCAAGTCTCCCAAAACGCAGACTCAGTGTAAGAACAAGATTGAGTCTATGAAAAAACGGTACCGTTCTGAGTCTGCCACCCCAGATGGGTCATCTTGGCCTTTGTATTCACGGCTTGATCTTTTGTTACGTGGAACTGCTCCGCCGCAGCCTCCGCCTCCTCCGATTTCGTCTCATCCGGCGCAAGCGGCACCGGCTCCTGCTTTGACGAGCCCTCCGTTGGTAGTTCTGGAACCATCGGCTCAGGTGGTGGTGGTGTCCCAGTCGCCGGCACTTCCGCCTACTCCAGCTCCGCCGCCGGCGCCGGTCGTCGGAAATGCTCAGAACTCTCATGGGTCTAATGGGTTTGATAGATTGGCCAAGGTGAGTTCGATTTTTCTTCTTTGTTTTTTTTTTTTGGAAATTTCCATTGTTAGAGACTGGGATTAAACTCACACTTCCGTACCTTCTGCTTCAATAATTACTCTCTTTTTCATGTGAATAAACACTTAAATTTCATTTTTAAATAAATAAATATATATATTTTTTTATTAATTATATAATAATATAATAAATGTTTTAAGACTCTGTTTTTTACTACTGTTTGAGTTTAAATCAAATTATAAATTCTATTTTTTTTTTTTAATAAAAAGTGGGAATTATATTAATAGTAAAGACAATGTCAACCCATATATATGTTTTATATATATATATAATAATACAATACATATATCAAAATTTCCCCCAAGATCTCCTCAAATCTATTCATAGAACATTACTTAGATGGTCCCCAAATTAAAAAGCCCAAATTTTCTGGACCCATCCATCCTTAAAT